GTGCACTCTAATTTCAACTCTGAGGGCATCGAGTGGTATTTCAAGTAAGAGCTTCTCCAGAAGCCAGCAATTGCAAAATGCTGGCCGTGGATGCCACTTCAAACTGATATGGCAAGGTGGGTACGGGTAGGAAAACGTGAAATTGATAAAATGATATATGATTATAACAGACTGGTACATAGTATGAAGTCAGTATCGTTATATCCGTTCGAAGCTGTTCTTGAGAAAACATGCGTATCCAGGTCAACCATTATTATTAGCCTCCGCCTGCGATGCTATGAATGGGAGTTGGGTGGTGGGAATGGCGCTGTGTTCCGGCGAAACTGCCTTGGACTACTATCACTTATTGTACGGACTAGTGGAAGGATGTAAACGTCTCAACTTGAAGAAGCCGGCTCCTTGGTACATTCTTGGCGACAACGCACCCGCAATCTCGTCAGCAGCTCGCTTAGTGTTTTGCAACAGCAGGCGAGCGAACTGCTACTTCCACGTAGCAAAAAATATAACGGACTTCTTCGCTAAGCACAAAACACCCACTGTGTGGGCTGAAAGTTTGATGAGTGATCTTGCGGCACTCCGTTACGCAACTACTAAGCCAGCATTTCTGCAGGGTTGTAGACTGTTTGTAAGGAAATATGAGGGTATTGCAGAAATCAAGAATGAGCTGAATTATATTCGGCAGCAGTGGTTTCCAAGCTGTGTTTCAAACGTTGACGCGGATCCCGCTAATAGTAGCTGGTATTTTGGGTTCTGTATTGGTTATCCTACCGCCAACTGCTCACTGGAGAGTCATAATGGGTACGTCAAAAACTGCCTGTGTCGTGAGAAGAGCGATGTGATGGAGTTTTTCACTAGAGCTACTGGTGTACTCGTCCCATACTACTCTCGGTGCATGAACGAAGAGAACAAGACGACGAGAAGGCGATTTGTCGGTCTCGACCATAAGACGGCGGATAAGAAAGATTACGCGGCTGGTATCGCATGGCTCAAGGATGCAAAGCTCATCGAGGTAAGATAGTATTGCTGGATCTCTCTCTGGACCTAGATTTCTCAGGTGAAGGGGAGCAGTTTGCATTATCAGTTGTTGATCTCCCCCAATCGCGGGACGCGAGCCACTGAGTTGAACGATGCTAATATAAAGGAGTTCTTGGGAGTTATGACGGGAGAAGCTGAGATTGACACCTTCGATGAATGGTGCTCTATTAGTCGAAGATTCATATGCGTTAAGGTACCAGACCACGCGCGCACCTGGCGAGATATGACGTGTTGTTGCGTGTGTTTCTTACGGGAGAAAACATGCCCACATGTTCTAGGAGTGGCATATAGATTAAACAGGCTTAGTGCGGAAGATCGTGATCGATATCCTATTTGCTCGAAGCAACGCTCTAAAGGACGAAGTAGAAAAATAGTAGCTGGCCAATCACTGAGGAGGTCGGCTAGTGATACGGAGCGAACAAACAGTCGATTGTTTTAATGAGTCTCGTGTTGAGATA